GCGACTCCGTGGCTGACTGGTGTCTTCGCCGTCGTTCTGTCGGTCTTCGTTAGCCGTTGATGCACTGCTACGCCCCGCGTGGGAGAGGGGATTGAACAGGTGCTGATCGCTGACTTTTCGCAGTCTGCCTCAGTCCCTCGACAGCCTGCGCGGCCCTTGATAACCCTGGTGACGACAGAGCCGTTATAATTTTCAATGGCGTCAATACCATGAGTGGCAGGTGGCGAACATTTACGGAGACTTGTCCACGGACTCCAATCCTGCTCCTTTCTCAACCGGGCTTGGCACCGGCAACGACGTAGTTACAGAGATCAATCACAAATCAATATCCGATGGGTCGATACCAAAAAGCAGGAAATATTAAAAAAGCATGAGTGATTTAGCAACAACCAATCACGATAAAGAGGAAAACCGAAATCATGGAAATGCGACATACTTCCTTCACGATGCACTGCAGAGAATGTCAGCAACATGAACAATGATTTAGAGTTAATGATCCTCGTTTCTCGATCAACGGTTCACAGCAACAAATGCTGTTTTGGCGCAGATATCCGCTTGCGTATCATTAGCCACAAATACCTTATTTTAAAGGCGATACTTGGAGCTATGTATCAAGTAGAGTGTGTAACCTCTTGCTCTTCGCTCAAGTTGGTGCACATTTATCTACTTTTGAAGGATGAAAAACGAGCTGTCCGCCTGGGTCTCGAATCCGCCTTCTTCTGACTGCGAGTACGACGTCCAACCAACTGAACAACCTTCGTCTGCCGTATAAAGAATCGCCTGAACTTAGGCACCAAACATTCGCCCAAGGATAAGAATTATATAAGAAATTGATTTACACAGCAAATTCCGCTAAAAGTATACACTCGCAAGAAGAAATTCCTTCTTTCAACGTCAATTATGATTCTTCGGGTCTTTTCGGATTTTACCTTCTTATGACGTTCTTACGTTTCAGCCCTTACCCCTGACTGCACTTTATTACTTACAATAACCGCTATTCCTCTAGCTGATTCTTTCGACGTTTGTTTTATCTCATGCCATAGGTCTTCGGCAGCAGCGTCCTGCACTCAGAGTAATGATGCGAGCTGTCGACGCAGGATAATTTCACGCTGTTTTTTTATCTTGGCAATGTTTAGTTTCGTGTTCTGCTCCATCTTACGACTTCCGTTCATTCTGAACATTTTATCGTGTTCATTCTAATAGATCTATTCCTACTAGGTACGTTTGTCAGTTTATGATGAGGAAAGTTTTTTCATATCCAAAATACTGATACGAATTCATTTATATTGGGCGTGTTCAAGAATAAACTATTTCTTTTTATTTACAATAAAATCAATCAGAAAGTACGCGTGAAGCATTTCTGCCATACTCGTTCCTCTATCTTAAATTCACTGCGAAGAAGTTCAATCCAAACCGCAAGGTTCTTTACATCCAGATATTTAACGCATTTAGTTCTGCTGATTTTGGCATATCTGCAATTTACCACTAGTGTAAGCAAAAGCTGGGGCACGATAGGAGTCAGCTGGAAAGACAGCTGTGATGTGAACAGGCTACTGGTAATCCTCAACTCAACTTCTGATAAGACCCTTGTGTGCTGGGAGTAGTTTAGAGTCGGTAGACTACATGATCATGGAACGAATCGTCTGGATACAACAGCTTTTACTCGTTTCTGAAAGTTTGCTAGTCTCACTTGCCGCCACTCTCAATGATCATCCTTATTCCTCGCTAACGTTAGCGAACGGCGAACCAAATACGAGGGAAGAATATGCCTAAGCCACGCTAAAAACAAATTCATGCTTACGTCACTGCTTCCAACAGACGGCGTCGATAAACGGCATGATCGTCTAGTAAGGTGCGCAGTGTCTTCTTCGATTCGTCAATAACGCTAAGCAGTCGCGAATAGCATGCGGCTATTTCTTCGATGATTGTACTAAAATATTAAAGTAACGAACCAGCCCAAGGCATGATGGTACATTTCGAAACAGGCTCCCCCCTTTGAAAAAAAATTTCTCCCTCATCAAACAAGGCAGCAGTTTAGCAGAAAAACAGGCGCAAAAAAGGAACTCATTTAACTCCATTGGCTTTTTCTCAACAAATTATAATTCCCTTAAAAACTTCATCTATCGTAGTTGCAAAACAATGTACTTCCGAAACATAATACATTTACTATTCATTACATACATACCTCATTTGTAGAAAGATTTAACATCAGTTTTAACAAGAAAAAACATTATAGTACTGTACTTATTCATCGCTGGAAAGGAACCACTCTGCTTATCTTTGATTTTTACTATCAGTCCTGGTGAAAGTTCGGCACTACCTGACGAAGAGTAACCATGTTTAGGTGATTCGGATTTTGGCTGGCTAAATGACTTCAAGAAAACATCCACTTTCAGTTCTATTTTGGAAGACTGCTGCTCAAAAATTCGGAAGTAAGAGTGATACGGATGAACCTCAGGATCCGATAATGAGTCAATAAACGATATCAGGTCGCTAAGATATCCTAATTGAGAGTTTCATTTTGCAGACTGGTAGTCTTTTCTCATCATCGTCATTGCTTTTGTGATCCGTTTTATTGTGATCTCTCATTATCACTTGATATCCTGGATCACTTTCATTTTCTGCAGCCACTGCAAAATAATGACATCGCTGTTGTATCCAATATTAAAAAGTGATGGGTTGGTATGTTACACTATGTAGGTGTTAAGAACATAGTGTCATGAGTAACAGCAGTCACTTACATGCAGTTTCATTTTTAACGATGATATCACTCTGAATCAAAGTTAGTTCTACTTCGTACCGGAATTCGCTGAGGTAGCATTTAAGTGGTACCAAAATAGCGATCGAAGAACAACGAGGGAGTAGTGGTACCCAAATAAAACGGAAAATTTTGTCCATTAAATACGAAGGCCGTTAGATCGGGGTGAGCTAAACCGAGGATATACTGTAGTTTATGTATGTGATTACTGCTGAAGGTAAAAGGTTCTGCCTGCTACTGCTAAAAACCTGAAATGATTTGACTTGAACCGTAAAAGTGCATTACTCCATGTAACTTAAGCAAATAAACTATACAATGCCCTGATGGTGCTACCGATGTGACATCAAAATGTAGAAGCAGCAAAGCTTAACCACTGGATGGTTGGTGCCCTCAGCCATGTGGCGTGGTGGCACGGTGCGTAATAGATCGACTTAGAACTTAACTACGAATTCCCTTGAGCAAAGAACTTACCATTCGTTGCTTCAGACCGAGGTCACTCGGTCGGTAGGTCGTGGAACTTAGCACTGAAAGGTGCTCGGCTCAAATCCCGGACGGGGTCACTCGACATTTTATAAAGACGTTAATAAATGAGCATCCCTAAGTGGGAAATAAACAGGAGAATGCAGATTATGCTTATCACTCAGAAGCTGTCTATTCTGTTTGCTACGAACAACGATAAAAGGGGCGGACCCACGCCCGTGGAGAACACAAGATGCAGCTGCCAATGCGTGACACCCAGTAGCACTTCTGAACACCAAAATCCTATCAACTTTCCCATCGTAAAAGAGAACTGATTCACGATAAGAGCATTGTGTTACTGACTGAAAACGCAATCCGACAACAAACAAGCCCACGAGGCTGTTCGGTGAATCAGGTATAAAAGTTTAAAATGAGCGTAGTAGGGTTAATCGGCATATTTTGAGACGATTGGAGATTTGCCCGTTCGTTGTTGCCTCATATACGTTAGTTGTTTACTTGTATGTATGGCTTCTCGCGAAGTAAACTTTGTGTACAACCGATCTGCACAGGTTCTCCGAACGTCCTTGATGGACAGCTGCTGCCGACTAGGTGACCAAAGTTTTGAGTGAGACCACCTGGCCAAGTCGCGTGCACTACCAATAAAATAAGGCACCCCTGATGACATACAGATTAATATTAGCACCCCCACCATTAACTTCACGAAAACAAGGGTGCTAGAATTTGCCCCATCATGTCAGTGTAAGGAATACAAACAGATATCCCAAACTTTACAAACTTTCTTTTCCTTTCTCAGCCATGAATCAACAGATTCGCTGCAGTTTAAGCTATACTGCTATATATCGTCTGTCACATGGTGGTTGGGTGGAGAGGGAGGAGGGCATAAAACGAACTCATTTTCTGCACTTGTTTCCCTCTTCTACTAAGCCCTGCGTATTTCGCTATTTGAATATGACCTTTCCTTTTCAAACATTACACCCACATAACCGAAGAGCACTAGTACGGAAAGACAAGCAAATGAGTACGCACCAGCTGGCCAGAAACTTTGTCCGCCACACGTCCGACTGGATGGACAGGCTGTCCTTCGCCTCACGATCGGCCGACAGCTGCCGATTGCAGTTCAGGAGGTGTTCGGAAAGCTTCACCTTCTCCTCGGTGAGACACTCGAGTTTCACTTGCAGTTCGCTGCCCATCGTCGCCACCAGGAGTTTCTTCAGCTCGCTGTTTACCTGCGACAAAAAAGGCACTCCTATCAATGTCGAAGTTAAACCTGTATACGAAACGAAACTTACATTTGTCTGGAGGTCGACCTGCTCACGAAGCCGCTTCATGCCGTCCAACGTCCGTTCGTGCTCATCCACCAGTCGGTCATATTTCAGACGCCACTCGTTGGCACCATCACAGGACACGTCTACTGCATGTTTATTTTCGACCAAGCTTTTTGAGCACCCATTGTTAAGAACAGCAGCAGACTGGGACGAAGTCGATGACGAACCGACAGCAGGGACCTCTGAACCGATATCCACCCGATATGACAACGGTCCATGACCTTCAGCCGAACCTAAGCTTGTCCGTGCAGCTAACCTGTGCTGTTTGTGCATCACGGCCGTATCGACTTCGTACCGATAGATACGGCTAAAGTTCTTCGGGTCACCGTGCAACAACTGGCCGGTTCTACTGACCGAAGAAACGGTGTCGCGAGCAATCGCTTTTTTCTCTGGTTTTTCCCTATTACTTTCTGTGCGCACGACTTTACCTGCATCACCCTTAACCGACATTGCTGCCATCGAGAAACTACCGAATAAACATCAACCGTTCAATGCCTGATAATGAACACCAGCCTATATCTGAAACCAGATACAACACAACGTGCTGCACAATAAACGAGAAAATATTTATTCCGATTCGTCAACATTCATCACATTTTACAACATCACGGAACACAACATCAAATTACGCGACAACAGCACGAACGTTCTACATGTAGCACAGAGACGACTTCCTCATTCAGATACATATTTACAGTACGTTGCCATTTACAGGTACAGTATTAAATACTACTAATTATTGGCAAATATATACGGTTACATACAACAGTTTTGTCAAAACAGATAACAATAGCAAGACTTCAAGTCGAAGTTCGGTTAATGAAATATTTGGACACTTTTAGATATCAACTGTCCGAAGTATAAATGAATTAAAATTAAACTCAGGAAATTATTTAAATGATGCTTGTGTTTTGTTTCGTAAATTAGCTCTGGCCCCTCTGATCAACAACAGCTCAAGGTGTAATCTGAAAACAAAGGGGGAAACGCATAACAACTCTGATTTACGTCAGTAACTGTCTTGAACAGGCATCTATACGCGATACGTTTGAAAGTTTAGAAAAATGCTTTAATTTCGACAGATTTTTTAACTCTTGCCCCCTCTCCCCAAGGCATAACGAGTTTGTCCACCAACGTCAGCATTGCATTCAACCAAAGTAGCGAATTTTATACTACTGATAAAAAGCGAAACTATTACACTGCTTTAAGTCATCCTGGTTCAAGAGTAGTGGTTTTAAGAGGATTCGGAGATGTTGGTAACGAGCTTCTACGATCATGTTTTCTTATGTGTCGATTGCTACTCCATTTCTTAGGCTGGTGAATATAGCTCAGCGTATTGGATTCGCCATGGCTTGTATTCTCAATTAAAGTATTTGCTGAATATTTTTTGCGAAAAACGTACAATGGTTGGTTAGTAAAGTACCGTTTGTTAATTTTTATAAAGGGCCGATGCATGTACACGGACGAGACCTGGATTCTGCAGCCAAATAGGGGGAACCAGTTGGAAGACTTACGGGAACAATTCAACAATCTTTGCAAGAGGGTCCAATTCATATATGAGCTGGAAGTAAACAGGGTTTTTGTTACTTGACGTCTTAGTCAATAATATCAGACATACCTGCTGAACAATTACTATCTATAAAAAGTTATCTACACTGTTTCATACATTCGGGTATCTATGAAACTAGGACTGGTATATGCTCTGCACATGAAAAATCTTCAGATGTGCTTGAACTTCAAGATCTAACAAGAGCAGAATAGCAAGTTGTTCAACAGGAAAAATTAAAGGATGCAGTTATCTGAAAACCTTTATTTACAGACAGTTCCGAAAGGCAGATAGGAAATTGAACTGAGCAAATTATAACTTAACTATCTAATCTGGGATAATTTACATAGCATCCGCCTACTGGAGACTCACTACCAGTGAAAGAATACAATGGTTCATGAACGAGTAGAACAATATGCCGTTCTCTGCAGGGTCTGCGATCTGGTGTGCAAGAAAGGAATTCTAGCATAGCAAAATTTTCGGGAGTATTGAATCGCTTCAATTGCACTTGTAGCAACTCGACGAAAGCTGAAAGATAGGATACCGACGGAGGCGATAAAGATCAAACGGTATCCAATGAAAGTCCACAAAGATTGTTCTAAAAGAGAAAAACTGAAAAATAAAGATAATGTTGGCTGTTATAGTTATGCTAACACGCCACAAAATAAACAGATAAAGGAGACGCACATAATTAATTTAGCGTCGTGACCATTTCCACACCAGTATCTAATCTTGCTGCAGTAACTGTCTTTCTGCATGCTCTAAATTAAAACACGTTCATTTGTAAACAACCTGATAAATTGGATCTGTCGCGTCTTCGAACTCATACTCTTGCTTCAATAAGACACATCATTACAACGGAGGGTCTCTACACCTATCATCATCTTTTCGTGCGGG